CCCACCCCTATCTTGTGGTATCAATGATACGAAATGAATTTATATATTTTCTGAAAACAAAAGAAAAACTTTGATAACAAGACAAAATTCGGAAAAAGAATTTGGTATATAGTACATTAATATTCTCCCATGATTCGATCAAACATTTGTAATTTCGATGTTGCTATAGAAGTACTTGTATTTATTGATCTAGATTTTCTTTTTCAACTACTTTGATGATTTTAATAGGGATACTGCCTCTGCACGACAGACTTACAGCTGTAAATAATGGGCTGTCAAAAACAAAAAGGACAATGGGCTTTCAATGGTAGAACAAATTAGATTTTCAATATAAACAAAATTTGGCATAAAATATTGGTATTTGATTTATCTAATGAAGAGTAGTACTAGTAGAATACCGATTATCAACTTATTTGTAGGAGTATAAATGAATTGTTGTCACATTTTATTCAGGGCAATTCTAATAAATAACACGCTTTGAAAATTTGCTTCCAAATATAATACTATTTTTTTTAAGTTTTAAAAATACCAATATTTATTAAATATTTTTAAAATATCACATAACTAAAACTAATTTTTAATATCCTCTATATATTAAAGGAAAAGCATTTTTGGATTCATTTGTTTAGGTGTCAAGCTCTCAATTTTTTTTGAAATTTTTAGTTAAGAACTAAATCTTATTATTAATTCTCTACTATACTATTATCCAAACACTCCACAATCCTATTAATTCTCTACTATACTATTATCCAAACACTACACAATCACACAATCCTTCCAACCAAAATAATTTTTTTATTTGTTTAAAAAATGAAAATAAAAGAAAATTTACTATTAATATTCACTTACTCTTATAATTTACCTTAGGCCTATAAAATTCAATTCATATTTGTAATATTTATTTTGTATATTTGATCCATAAACCATATTTTTGAAGATTATGATATTAAATAAATATATTTCATTAATAAGTGAAATATATCGACTAAAAACTAAAAATTTATTGGTTTCAATTATTTCACGGGTGGGATACATTTCTATACAAAATACTTGCAAAATTCATATATATAAACGAGTTTTACATTTCGTATAATAATTTTTCCAATAACTATAGATGATTTTAAACTAAAACTATATTAGTTTTACTCGCGTCATATTATCCCGCGTATAACGCGGGTAACTATCTAGTTAAAAAT